GAAAAATGAATACACAAATTATCCAGAAAATATACTACTACTAAGCAATAAAAAGGAACACACTAGTGAAACATACAACAACATGGAATAACGTCAAATAACTGTGCTGAGTGAAGGAAGTCAGACAAGAAGAGGACATTCATTTATAAAGAAGTATAGAAGATGTGAACTAATCTATAGTACAGAAAGGAAATCCCAAGGAGAGTTCCCTGGGGGTCGGGGAGAAGAGAAGACAAAGATTACAAAGGGACATGAGGAAACTTTTGGTGGCGATGGGTATGTTCCTTTTCTCAGTGGTGGTGATTATGTCACAGATGTACACATATGTAAAAATGCATCCAATTATATACTTTAAAGGCACACATTGATTGTATATCAAAATATACCTCCGTAAAACTATTAAAAGAAAAAAATAGCATTAAGGAAAAAGTAAGTATTCTAGGCCCACACTAGAAATTAAACATCGCCCTTTTCAATTACACAGATGTAGGCATGGGTTCTTTTTACTGGTAACACAAGCCTGTCCCAACAAGACATTCTGTTCATTATCCAGGTCACTGCTCTGCCAGATCATAAAATATGGCAATGGCCTTGGGATTTAGAACAGGGGAAAATCACAGTATTTATACACTCTTACTTTGTAAATACAAATGATAATTTAATCAATTAATGTGCAGCAAGTCCCACATACTCACATTAATGGAAAGATAGCACAAATCAGCAAAACCCCAGAAAATACAAAAAGCATTTTCATAATTTCTTATGTGGTTTTGTTTTGCAGAAGACATTCTTAGGCTTTGACTAACATTAAAAGGAATTTACAAAAATGACTAACAGTCTTTTTTTTTCCTATTTTATATTAGAGCAGGAGCTAAGGAGTTCACAGAGAGCAAGGACAAACTACAATGCAGACATCAATGGTAGACACTGTTTTAAAAAGCATTCACACATATCCACCAATGCTACATATTTATAGGTCTACCCGCCTGTTTCCCACCCACTCTTCTGAGATGTCCCAAAGAGCTTTTCTGGGCCTCCCAATGCTTGTACTTCAATGTATAATGTATTATAGCTTACCTATGCACACATTAGAAAAGGTGGAAAAAGCAAAAGATTTAATGCTGAGGTTCTGTCTGTAAATACTCAGCAATTACAGCATCAGAAAAGAGGGACAGACAGGTGTGATGGGGCATACAGTCAGGTAGAAGAGAGCTCTTCAAGGGCACTGGGATTTCAGGTCAGATGAACACTAGGCCAGCAGAGTACACTCTCCTTAGATGCTTTTAGGTCGGCACTAGAGAGATGCATCCTCCCAATCCTAAAGCCTTTATTTAAGTATTTATTTTGGCACAGCAAATGCTGAGCACTAAGAAAGCAAAAAATGAATCATGTATGTCCTTGTTCAGTAAAGCTCCTGATTTAAAAAAAAAGAGAGAGAGAGAGAACTGACATGGACATATTTAAAATTAAGTTAATAACCATCAAGGATATATATTTCATTATCCTCCAAAACACATCCAATATTAAATCTTAACTGTGTGGCCATATGATGAGTGTATTAAAGAGACCATCCTCTGGGAATTTTCGATCTAAGCAATAATGATGAGGTTTCAAAAAGGGAAAACAACCCAAATAAATAAAATCAACTGTTGGTTATGTATGCTAAAAAAGAGGGGCAAAGTGAACCAGTGGAAAGAAAATAAACTAAATTAAAAAGTTTTGCATTCACATTCCAGTTTTGACACTATGTAGTCAGAGGCAAACTGCTTAATTTATGCTTCAATTTCTTCATGAGGACCCTAATCTCATAGGATGTTGTAAAGATGAAATAAGATTATATGCATAAAAATTGATCAAAATATAAGAAATCAAACTATTAATATATAAAAAGGATTATATACAATGACAAAGTGAGATCTATCCCAGGAATGAAATGTTGATTTAACATAAGACATGTCTCTAAACAAGATATGCAATGAAATGATTCACAGCATATGAGAAGATGCTCAACATCATTAGTCATTAAGGAAATGCAAATCAAAACAACGAGAAACCACTTTACACCCTTTTTTTGTCAGCTACGATAAAAAAGACAAGTAAATGTTGGAGAGTGTACAGAGAAACAGAAACCCTTGAATTGCTGGTGGGTACGTAACACGGTGTCACCACTTTGGAAAAGTTAAGCAGTTCCTCAAAATGCAAAACACAGAGCTATCCAATGATCCAGCAATTCTACTATTAGGTATATTCCCACATATGTGTACACCAGTGTTAACAGCAGCATTATTCATAAATTGCCAAAATTTGGACACAACCCATGTCCATCAGCAGATGAAAAGACAAACAAAAGGCAGTATATACACACCGTGGAATATCATTCAGGTATAAAAAGGAGTAAAATTCTGATACATGCTACAACATAGATGAAATTTGAAAATATTATGCTAAGTGAAATGAGCCAGACACAAAAGGACAAATATTGTATGATTCCATTCATATGAAATGTCTAGAAGAGGCAAACCCATAGGGAGAGAATGTAGACTGGTGGTTGCCTGAGGCCGTTGGGAGGAGGAGAAGTGATTGTTAATGGGTATGAGGTTTCCTTTGGGGATGATAAAAATGTGTGATGATGGTTGCTCACCTTGAGGATGAATTTTACGACAGGTAAATTATATCAATAAAGCTGCTATTTAACAAGTCTATATACGAAAACATGCATACTATAAAACTGCAAAATAATACGCAAACACAAGGGGTTAAAATGAAGCAAATAAAGAGCTGTGGGTTGTGAAGTCATTAAGGTTAGAAAAAGTAGCAATTAAATCAGCCAATTCGCTAATCCTCAAAAATCTAGTCTGCAGGTGTGGGAGGTGCCCAGATTGCTATGTATTTTTCATTTTACTGTATTTTTTCATTTTACTGTACATATCTCTTGACCTTAGGGTACATTTGTAATAATTCCGTTTCATCTTTGACGAGTAAAGTTGTATTAAAAGATGTGTGGGGAAGGGAACAAAATTCCACAGAAACCTAACCTATTCCTAAGTGGAAGAAGTTTGTATCTGTCACAGCAAAACAACAGACATTTTTAATTCTAATCATGCCCATCAACTCTTGCTTCCATTACTACAATAGCTTAACAGTTCTTCCTGCGTTTCCCTTGAACTCCTAGTATAGTTTTAATAGCAGAGAAAATATTTTAAAAAGTGTGTCAGGTATGGCACTTTTCTGGTACCTTGAATGACTATTCCTTTTATGTTTTTTGAACACATATCTGAGGTTACATATATACTTATGAATATTAAATCTCCACAACTTGTAACAGTGCTGGCACATCAACTAGGGATCAATAAACATTTCTTGAAGTCAATTTATTGCCATATAAGACTTGAAAGGTAAAATCAGAGATTCCTTATGTCTACAAGCTGCCAGTAAGCACTCTGGATGTGGGCTGTGGTGGCTTTACTCCACCCTTCTAGTAAAGCATCACGCTGCTTAAGGATTCTTAGGTCTTTTGTAGGTGGCTTCCCAATAAGCCTTTAGGTTCCCTAAAGTCAGGGACCACTTTTCTCCAAGATACCTATATGACAGATGAGCATGCAATACAGGGCAGGTGTAGATACTGTCAGAGATGATGGCTGCCAAAATGAAATGGGGCTTAAGTCAGGTGGAGAGGGAAAAAACCTTGGATTCCAGTAGAATTCATGCTGCCAGGCAGTTATCTTATGCTTCCCTCCTCAAAACCCCTCCTCCACGCCTTCCTGAAGCTGGGGGTTCCTAGCCTCTGAGTCGGTAATCTTTCTGCTCTAGCCAATTTATTTTCTAATCTTGTAGCTTTCATATAAAAGGCTCTCCAGGAGATTGATGATGACAGACTGGGCAGCCACACAGATGAGCAGGGAGCTCTCCTTATTACCAGCAGGGAGGGAGGGCAACCCATTCATGGGAAGAAAGACAAGGAGCTGAGGTCTATTCAGAAGGGGGGCAATTCCAAAAGCTGGTATGAGCTGTCAAAACAGTGTGTCCTAGGGGAACAGAGGTCCAAGGAGGAAGAGGAGAGATGCCTCCCTTATCAACCCCCATGCTCTTCCTCACAAGTATGTGGTGGGGTTAAAGTGAAATAGCTGGAAAGTGCTGTGAAGAATAAAAGCACTGGAGAAATGCTTGGCACTGTGAGGATTCTTATATTACAATACATGGATCCTTATCCAATGCCTGGCTCAGTTCCTGGTTCTTGTAATGGCACCCATATAAAACTCACCAAGTATTTGATCACCAAGAGAGCATATGAAATGAAGCAGACTCCCAGTGAAGAGCCCCTGGTGAGGCAATGGCAGATCACCAGCAGGGACAGATGTAGAGACAGCATCACTTTTGCATCTGCCTATACTTTCCTCAGTTGAAGAAAAGAGTTTTAAAATGACCATTTTTGGAGATTCTTTTCTCTACCATCTATAGTTACTTTCCCATCCTTCTACTCATTCTGTGCTTCCTATTCTATTAGGCACTATTTCACAGACCCTCCCCAGAAAACACATACAATTCCCCTATAGGGAGTGTACTTTTCCAAAGTGGCCAAGCTCACAGGGCTCCCAAGCACCTCAACCTCCGGTATAAATAATCAAAGTGACAGAGGCAAGACCATGAGAGGAAAACAAAGCTTGGAGCCCTAGATCACCAAGATGACTTACAGAGAAGGTAGGACTAGAGTGGTAATAGAAAGAGATTTTACCTAAGTTTACCTCCTTCAATAAAGACAGGGAGGTTATTTCTGTGATCAGTACTGTGGGAGCTCTGCATGATTAAGAGTGCTAAACCAGGCCTGGCCAGGGAGCTCGGCTGGAGCGTTGTCCAGATACTCCAAGGTTGCAGTTAGATCCCTGGTCAAGGCACACACAAGAATCAACCAGTGAATGCATGGATAAGTAGAACAACAAATCAATGTTTCTCTCTCTCTAAAATCAATCAATAAAAAAATTTTTTTAATAAAAAAAAAACGACCCCTTTGAAAAGCACTCTTTGGGTCTTTTGCTAATGACCCACTGAGCCATCCAGAAAGGGAAAAGTAAAAACCTGCTTTTGGGTGAAGTGGCAGCATGTTATGTTGTTTTGCTTCAATTGGTGGTGTGACAATAGGAAAAAAAAAATGAGTGCTAAACTAGGGCCAAACCAGAGCCTTCATCAAGCAAGGAGAGCAGCCAGGATTTAGAGTAAGAGACCTAAGTTCACTACTAATGTGGTTCAAAGTCTCCACTCCTATGAGCCTTGGTTTTCTCACTAGAAAGGAGAACAATAACTATAATAAGTACATATCAGAATGGCTGTCAAAGCACAAGTCAAGTGCTAGACAAATGCTAGTTATTACAGCTTTCCCCTGTTGGCCCTCTATATGCTTTATGGCCAGAAGTAACACCATGTGCAAGAACAAAAGGGTATTAGACTTGGGTTTCTCTAACTTGCCAGAATCTTCAACCAAGACAGAACCAATCAATATTCGAAAACTAGCTGATGAAAGTTATTGGGAAAACCCCTACTGGAGATTTCAGCAAATTATTTTAGGGTGCTAGCTGGCATTCCTTAAAGGCTACCGAGTCCAGCTGTGGGTACTATGAGAATATTCATACATGAAGAGATGGAGCCTATTGCCCTTCTCTATCCTGGTCAGGCCTTTATAACTCTCAACTAGTAAGAGCAAAGCAGAAGTGACACTAGGTGACCACTTATAAAAAGGATGCACCTTCTTCAAATGTCTGGGGATGCTTGTTCTGGAGGCTTCAGTCACCTCAGAAGGACTCCGGAGTCCAGCTACCCTGAGGAAACACATAGAAACACCAACTGGAGATTCTAGAGAGACAGACTGATAGAGATAGACTGCAGCCATTGATAACTTGAACAACACTGATTTGTGTAAAGCCTTAATGTTCACAGCAGGCATATCACATCTAGGGGATGGGGACCTGGCTTGTCCAATTTGAGACTACAACATATGATGTAATAATGAGATAATAATAATAGCTAACGTATTGAACTCTTAACTATGTCAGGTATTTTGCTAAGCATTTTATATGCATTATTTTTATTTCATCTTTGCAAGAATCTTGTGAGAAAAATATGATTTTAGCTATTTTAGAAAGGAAGAAACTGAGGCTTAGACGGGTTGAATAACAGAAAACCCAGGTCTATCTAACACAAAAGTTGTACTCCTAACAACATGGTGGCGACTAGAACTTAAAGAAGTGACCAAGGTTCCACAGATTAAATAATATTAGAGTTCTACGGATCTTAGAGATCAAATCCAACTTTCCCACTTTGCAATTGATGAAACTGAGCCTACTGAAGTTAAGCAAGTTAGCTTAAAACTGTAACCATTCCTCAATGATAAAAAGACAAATAATCCAAACAAAAAATGAGCAAAGGGTTTGACCAGACATTTCTAAAGAAAATACGCACATGGCTGATAAGCACATGAAAAGATGCTCAGCTTCATTAGTCATTAGGAAATGCAAATTAAAATGATGGGATACCACTTCACACAAACAATGATGGTTATAATTGACAAGACAACAACAAGTATTGGTGAAGACATGAAGAAACTAGACCCCCATAGATTGCTGGTGAGAATGTAAAACGGTATAGCTGCCTTAGAACACAGTTCGGTAGTTCCTCAAAATGCTAAAAACTGAGCTACTATATGATTCACCAACTTCCCTCCTACCTATATATCCAAGAGAACTGAAAACATGTCTACACAAAACTCACACACAAATGTTCATACATCATTATTTGTAATAGCCAAGAAGTAGAAACAACCCTAATGCCCAGCAAGTGACGAATGGATAGGCAGAAGGTGGCATATCCACACAATAGGGTGTTATTCCATCGTGAAAAGGAGCAAAATACTGACACACATGCCACAACATGCATAAACCTTGAAAATATGCTAAGTGAAAGATTCCATCTACATGAAATGTCCAGAATAGGTAAATCCATAGAAACAGAAAGTAGATTAGTGGCGGCCTAGGACTCGGGGAGGAGCAATGGGAATGACTGCTAATGGGTACAAGGTTTATTAGCACGGTGATGAAAATTTTCCGGAATTCGATAGTGGAGATGGTTGCACAATTCTGTGAATATACTAAAAATCACTGGGGACTTCTGGTCAAGATGGTGTGGTTCATAAATGTTGTGCTCACCTCTTCCACAACCGCATCAAAATTACAACTAAATTATAGTACTAGCCTTGAGACAACCTGAAGACTAGCTGAACAAAACTCCTGTAACTAAGGATATAAAAAAGAAATCATGTCAAGACTTGTAGGAAGGGCAGAGATGTGAAACAGGCTGGTCCCATACCCACATGTGGTGGCTAAGAATTGGGAAGGATGTGCAGTGGAGGTCACCACTAAGGAGCAAGGTCTCCCAATGCCACACCTGGCTCCCAGCCCAGAGTACCAGTGCTGGGATGAGGAGCCCCCACAACATCTGGCTATGAAAATCAGCGGGATTACACTCTGACCAGTGTGGCTCAGTTGGTTGGGCATTGTCCACAAAGGAAAAGGCTGTCAGTTCAATTCCCGGTGAGGGCACATGCCTGGGTTGCAGGTTTGGTCCCTGGTTGGGATGTGTACGAGAAGCAGCCGATTGATGTTTCTCTCTCACATCAATGTTTCTCTTCCTCACTATAAAAAAATAAGTAAATAAAATCTTAAAAAAAAAATCAGCAGGACTCCATCCATCTGGGTGAAGTGGAAGGATGTTGCAGAACCAGAAGTCCTCATAAAGGGCCTGAGCACAGACTCACTCTCTTCCAAACACTTGCCTACGCTCCAGAAAAGGGACAGCAATTGGAAGAGTGCCAGGAATAGAAGGGGAAGAAGTGAATTGTTTGGTGTTAGGGTGAGAGCTGGAAGGGCAGCTCTCTTTTGGAAAAAGTACCTGGCTGGTGCCATTGTTCCTTTGTTGGACCCTCTTCTCCAAAGCCTACCATTGCAGGTGGATGCCATGTATGAATTTCCATTAACCTGGCTAACACTTCTCCCACCCAAACCTAGTAGTCTCTGAGACCTTGCTACAGCCAATTTACATGCCCTGCTCATACCTCTTTCATAGGCAAAGTTATACAAGAGACCAGCCTGGGCCCACATTGCATACTTTCCTAAAATCTCTCAAGGTCCACAAATCCCAAACAAGCAGTGGCTGACCCTGGCAATCCCTGTACCTGTTGCTAAGTGCTAGTGGCAGCCAACCTCAGTTCACAGCATGCCAACTCTCAAGTGCCTCCAAGCCCAGCACAGGCAGCCACCAACTGCAGATTGCTTTGTAACTCTTATCAAGTGGTCTTGGGCCAGACACAGGCAGTGGCTGATCTTGGCCTGCACTGGAGTCCCTTCCAAGAGGTCTCAGAACCAACATACCTGGTGGACAGCTTCAGGGCACACCAGAGAATTACCCCATCAGTGCCACATATGATACACCCGAAGGATGGACTTGGCAGGCAAAAAGCCCTGCTAAAGAAAATCCCACTCTGTGGGATCAGCCCCTGTACAACAGCTTGTCCATTACAGTCAGAGCCAGTCCTCACAGCCAGTCAGCCAGAGGTTAATCCCACCTACTGACATGCTAACATCAATTAACAGCTCAACTACAACAGAAGAGCACACACAACCTTCACAATGGACACTTGTAAAGCACTAGATTCAGATGAACAAGGAGACTGTGTTATTGGGCCCCACAGAATACCTACTATATGAGGCCATTCAGCCAAACTGGGAGGTGCAGCAGACTTACCTAATACATAGAAACAAACACATGGAGACAGCCAAAATGAGGATACAAGGAAACATGTCTCAAATGAAAGAATGACAAAACTCCAGAAAGAGAACTAAGCGAAATGGAGACAAGCAATCTAAGAGATGCGGAATTCAAAACACTGGTTATAAGGCTGCTCAATGAACTTCGGGGAAGAACAGATAATCTCAGTGAGAACTTTAACAAAGAGATAAGAAACATAAAAAAGGAGATATAATAAAGGTAATACATCACATACAAAAGGAGAGACAAAAATCACATGATCATATCGATAGATGCAGAAAACGATTTGGTAAGGTACAGCACCCATTTATGATAAGGACACTCAGCAAAGTGGGAATAGATGGAGCACACCTCAACATACTAAAGGCCATATATGAGAGACCTAAAGCCAACATTATACTCCATGAGCAAAAACTAAAAGCATTCCCACTAAGATCAGGAACAAGACAAGGGTGTCCACTTTCACCCCTTCTATTCAACATTGTATTGGAAGCCCTAGTCACAATGATCAGGCAAGAAAAAGAAATAAAAGGCATCCACGTTGGAAAAGGAGAAGCAAAACTGTCACTGTTTGCAGATGACATAATACTGTACACAGAAAACCCTACAGACCCCACCAAAAAACTGCTGGACCTAATAAATGAATTTGGCAAAACAGTGGTATACAAAGTCAATATTTAGAAATCAAAGGCATTTCTGTACACCATCAACGAAATACCAGAGACAGAAATCAGGAAAACAAATCCCATTTGCTATAGCAACAAGAAAAATAAAGTACCTAGGAATAAACCTAACTAAGGAGGTAAAAGAGGTGTATTCAGAAAACTACACAACACTGAAGAAAGAAATTAAGGAAGACACAAATAAATGGAAGCACACACCATGTTCACAGATTGGAAGACTTAATGTCATGAAAATGTTCATACTACTCAAAGCAATTTATAGATTCAATGCAATCCCTATTAAAATACCAATGACATATTCCACAGATATAGAATAAACATTTCAAAAATTTATATGGAACCATAAATGACCCTGAATAGCTGCAGCAATTTTGAGAAAGAAGAACAAAGTAGGAGGGATCACAATACCAGATATCAAGCTATACTATAAGGCCACGGTAATCAAAACAGTCTGGTACTGGCATTAAGAACAGATACATAGATCAATGGAACAGAACAGAGAGCCCAGAAATAAACCCATGTCTCTTTGGTCAATTAATATTTGACACAGAGGACAGGAGCATAAAATGGAATAAAAGTAGACTCTTCAACAAATGGTGCTGGGAGAGCTGGACAGCTACAGCTACAAGCCAAAAAAAGAA